ATCACGAAATCATCATCCTTATATTGCTTAATCCTACAGTTCAGAAGTTATATGACCAGTTAACAAAGCTCTCGCCATGTTTTTCTTAGCTTTCTTTTCCTTTATATTGATTATTTTTTATTCAACAAAAAGGATTTGCCTAATTTACCCAATCAATTTTCTTCTAAATTTTTTTCTAAAAAATTCCAGAATGTTGATTATTAATAAATTAGTAAATACTATTATGATATAATCCCAGACTGAACTAAATAATTGACTAAAATAGTTGACTAAATGATTGATTAAAATAGTTGACTCCAACCTCTAACTTCACACAGTCTTTTTAGCTGATTTTGGATGGTAATGGCCAGGATCAGGACTGGAAATAAGGTGTTCATCCCTTGCTTTGCACACCAAGTGAATTTATGCATTGGTAAAATATTCAAGGAATCATACAGGATGAAACTTGTTGCAAAAGATGCAGTAGTTATAGTAAGTTATTTTAATAATGTTAATCATGAATATTGGATGAAAAGGCTACATGGATGAACAAATGGGTTTGTATATAATACATATGGTTTAGTATCACCAAATGATACCAAGTGGAACTCAAATTATGTTCATTATGTAAGTTTGTTAAGGCCCAAAGGAGCTTTGAAGATTGATTTTTTTTCTGTTCATTAATAGTTTATTTAATTCATGATCAATATTTATAACAAAGTTTTTTAAATTTAATTGACAACTAGACATTAGTAACCAAACATCAAGCCATGAAAAATTTGAGAACTAATGAAAGATCCTTGTACTTTCTGATGATTTGTGTTGAATTATTATTGATGAAGGTGTAGAAGAACTTAAAGATCTTATGAAACCTTTTGTAAGATGTTTGGATAAATTACAGGTGGATAAGGCACAATTACATGATGTTATATTGTCAATTAAAGTCATCATGATCAAGAGTTTGCAGCTCATATGATAAATAGAATTTTTAAAAAATTGAATAGTTGGGACTAAAGCTCCGAATGAGCCAAGCTGGCTCAAGCTGAAGCTCAAAATTTTGAGTTCAAGTCAAGCTCAAGCCAAGAAATAATAGGCTTGAGTCTGATGCCATATAATTTTTTTTAAAGTAATGAATGATTAATTTTATTTATGCACATTACCTAAAAAAACAATTTAAGAGTCTATTTTCTTGAACTCAGCTCGAACTTGAAAATTCAAATTTTAACTTGAGGTCACTCAACTTAAGTAATAAAGCAAATAAAATGAATGATTCGAATACACAAATAAAACAAATGATTTGAATAAACAAATAAAACAAATGATTCAAATAAACGAATAAAATGAATGATTTGAATAAACGTATAAAATGAGCAATTTGAATGATTCGGATAAATGAATAAAACAAATGATTTGAATAAATGATTAAAACAAATGATTTGAATGATTTGAATAATTCAAATAAAATAAAAATGAATAATTCAAATAAATGCATAAATGAATAAAATAAACTAATAAAACTAATAATTCAAATTAATTGGGTTGTATTACTATTACTATTTTACTATTACTATTATGAATAATTCAAATGAGGACTTGTATTACGAATAGGAATTCTAGCTGATAATAAAGATTTTTTAAACAGGTTGCATTTCGTTTTAATTATCTACAAACATTATAAAATTTATACAGTTGTTTCAACAAATTATAATTAAATTCACATTACTATGAATTTTTAAAACATAAAATTCATTAAACCGTGGTTAGTAATTTTAGTATAATGCAATTTCTTGTGCATATATTCCAGAACCTAAAAAGCATTGTTCTCATTTTAAATTTTTGGAATTTTTTGGTCTGTCATAAAATTATTTATGATGATTCAAATGTTCTAAGCTTATACAATTATTATAGTTTATTATTGCTTCAATTATTTTCAGTGTTTTGCAAAATCGTGATTTTATATTAAATTTTGAGTTGGCTCAAGTTTTCAAGCTTGAGCTGAGTTCGAGCTAGCACTTTTCTATATGTGAGCTGGCTCAAACTTGCATACTCAAGTTCGAGTCGAGCTTGAGCTAAGCATAAACTCAGCTTGGCTTGGCTCGTTTGGAGCTTTAGTTTGGACATCAGAAAATTTTCTCCACTGTAATATTACATCCATAAATTCTAATATGTAAATTTGTAATATTTGCTTAAAAAATTATGTAATATTTACCCTCAATGTAGTAATTGCATAATTTTGTATGATTTTTGCATAATATTACAGGTCCATCATAAACTTATGTAAATAGTGTAATAATTATGTAAATCTGCATCAGAAAAAATTTCCTGATGGAGCAGACTTTATTGATTAATTCAATTTTCCTTCATCCTACTTTAAAGAATACAATATTTAGTGATTCAATTCCAAATTTGATTTGGATTGATTTAGGAAGATGGGTTGCCTACTATTATTATGTTGTATGGTTTTAAAAAGAGGCTATATTTATTATTAGAAATTGAAAATTTCAGAAGAAAAAATATACACTTTCAGAACCATACTATTCTATGACCAACTGAGCCAACAGAATTCTGATATTTTATAAAATTTTTTAGCTTCAAAAGGTCTTAACCATGGCACAACTGAGAGAAACTAATCATTTCAATACTAAACAAGAAAAGAAAAAGACCTCACATCATCATACATCATTGCCATTCCATCAGATGAAAATGATGATTGCATCATTTTGGGTGATAATGATATTTAAATAAAGTTAGTATTTTTATCTTATTCTTTTTTAATAACACTAAAATTCATACCCAGCAGTCTTTTTTTATTTGGAGTAGAAAAATTTTGTACATTATTTATTTCTTTAGACATTAATAGAACCTCCACCATCATTATAAAATTCATTTTCAATTGTAGTTTCTGTATCAGTACCAGTGAACCAATTTAATCACTCCTCCTCATTTAGAAGTTAATTCAAAAAAATTTACAATTCAACAAACATTATATCAAGTTTTTTTAGTTAAAGTTTTTCAATTCATTGATATTTATATTAGATTGAGTGCTCTTACAAGCAATACATATGCCAATTGATTATAACCATTTGGTTTATCAGGTAAAGCATGAAAGTATTTTTTTTTTATTAATTACTTCCTTGGGGCATTAAAAGTGTAATTACATTCTTTATAATAATAAAATTAATTGAGGAAATTTTTTTATTTTTGCATGACAAAGCCCAAATAAAATCTAGTTGAGTCCAATAAGTCCAGTCCAGTCCAAACCAATTGGACTGGTCCAATGTATAACCAAGCCACTTTTTACTGCACCAATTGAACTGGAGATTTTGACAACACTGATGTGATTGGGATAATAAAACTTTTAGTATTGTCATGTCACTTTATTCAATTATTTTTGATGATCTGCAAATGTCCTTGTAAATGATTTTCAGTGTAATGTTGAAAATATATAGCGCGCAACCATTACAAAAATAGAAATATTATACTGATATTCACGTGACTACCACAGTAAGTTGATTCCGATTGATTGGCAAAGTGTGGCCTCTCTTTCAGTCCTCATTTTGCTACCCCACAATACCAAGTATTATTACAAAAACCAATTATACATAGAAAATATGCCTTTTGCTGGATCTGATTTATTGAAAACTGGGAAAACAGATATTTTTGAAGTTATAAAAGAAATTAAAGCTTTATTTATTTTAGTGTTAACACCAAAGATGTTCCTCAATTAATTGTAACTAGTTGCAACTAATTCCAGCATATAAAAATTAAATTGCAGTTGTGGTTGCAGCTAATTACAGTTCCCATCTTTAGTTAATGCTTCTCTTATGGATTACAAGAGGCAAGAATACCTTTATAACGATATTGTCCATTTTCAGAGATGAATTTAAAGACATTACTTACCCAAAGCCAACTTACAGCAAAAACAATTAATATCAAAAACTCTAACATGTGGATCAGAATAAAGCTAATCGTCTTCATTGTTTGATCAAACAAGTCTCTTGACAAAAAGGGAGAAAGATCAAAGTAATTTGTGATTAGGATGAAATTATTATGCCAACTAGATTACCAGAAATTCGTGATTTTGGTAAACTTGACACCCTTTTGCAGACTGGTTCAAGAAATTCTGGGAAAATATTGTTGTTGAGCCAAATGAAAATGGTGTTTCTTATAAAACAATTGGGCATCCCAAACAGAATACTATAAGATACGTAGTGCCATGATGACCAACAGTAGTCTAGCATTCCAGATAAGAACACAAGGAGATAGACAAAATTTTCAAACTGTACTTTTCAGCAATAGATATAAAAATAAACCAAAAAATGTGCGCACATATAAAAAAGCACTCAGCTATATTGGAAAGATAGTTTAAAATCCCTTCTAAAAGGTACATACATAGCAATATAATATCCAGCACCATCTCCTTATCGATCACCTGAGCTTATAGGAAAAACTAAAGATCCAGTAGAAAATAGCAAAGTTAACCTATATGGTATAAGGAAGGAAAGAGAAGCTTATAAAGACAGAGAAGCAATAATGTAATGGCTGTGAATAAAAAAGATCAACAATTTGGATATATTCATTAAACTCCTAAAACTCAATAGACTCAAGAATATATTATCATATCAATATAAGGCTTAATGAAGCAAAAAATCAAAGCCGATAAAGAACATGATGGCAAAGCAAAATGATAGATTATAAATTTGATCTCATGTTTTCATATTCATATGAAGATGAAGCCAACAAATATTATGAACTATATTGACGTTAGAAGATAATTCTGAAAGAGCCGAATTAACCAAAGTTATGAATGAAAAGGCAATAAAAACTAATGTTGAACTTGAAAACTAGTCCTTATTAAATGAACAAAAGTATCGATTTGGTTGTCTTTAGCTGTCACCATGTTAACTCAAAAAGCTCGGCTCAAGGTGCAAACGATAATCAAAGTGAACTAAGTATACTAGAAGATGAATAATATCCAGGAATTATATTGCAAGGTGAAAATGGTCGCGGCAGGAACTAAATATCCTGTCAAAATTTCATTTGAATAAAATATTAATATATACTAAAAGACTTTATTGTTTAGAAATAGTGGGCCTTGTCAAATACGGTAAGAGCAATGGGTAGACAAATAAAAATTTTGTTTCTATATAATGGATGCATGAATCATTTTCTTGTTCTGTTTGTATGGAACAAAAACAGTTTTTTATATTGCTAAAAAAATATATAATTGATCCTTTTTATTAATACTAATACTAAAAATTTATTAATTATCTTTTGCACCATACCAATACGTTCACGTGATCAAACGCGTCGTGTATCGGTAATGAGGCTTCTGATAGAACATCAGAATGGCAGCTTTAACATTAATCTTGAATATAAAATTTGACAACTGCCGGCATCAGCTAACTCTTCAAAAGTCAAATGTAGATTAAGGAACAGCCATGTGTTTCCTGGTTACAAGAGCATCTACACAACACGACGAGCACACTTTCGGCCTGTGATTGCCTTTCATATCTACCCTTAATCGTCAAGCTCTTCATAGTAATAAGCCAATCCATCAAGTTAGAGTGAGAATTCTGCTTATCTTCTTTACCCTCAAATTAAGCCTGTGTTTCTCATGATGGATATGTGTACTTCTACCAGAAACTTTAAGCTTCGTGATTATTAATCCTACTATTATTGACTTCTCCGCATGTTTAGCTATTGGGAGGGATTATATCTTGAAGAGGAGGATGGAATTTTTAAGGCGATTAATATTAGATAAAAAAAAACATAGGGTAATCACCATGTTATTTATATGTATCAAAAAAATAAAATTTTCTTTTTGATATAGAAAATTTTCAAAAAAAATTTATTTTATTTTTTTGTTTTAATCTTTCCCTCTGTTTCCCCCGCTTTGAAAGTAATCGATTATATATGCATTAAAAACGGTGAATAAGAGGGATTATTGTATTGATATGGATTTGGATTGATTAAATTATTTCCTCACACATCTTCTGATTCTAATTCTTAACCATTCTTCTATCAAGTTACAGATTTTTATACAAAAAAAAAACATGAAAAAAAATGTAATGTTTATTATATAAATAATTGTATAATAACTATTTTTTTTTTTAAAAAAAAAAACAAACTAACACTATTTTTGACGATAATGCTTTGATTTTTTTTATTATTTATATTATTATTATTTTTTTTTTCTTTGCAAATCAATAATAATATTATTATTCCAAATAAGAAAAATGTATGGATAATCTAAACCACTGCGATAAATAAGGGAAAAAGGAAGGTGGTGGTGGTAAAGAAGTTAAAAATTAAAAGTTGAAAGTTGAAAACGAAAAAGAAGGAAAAGGATTGAAAGGAGGATGATGAAAAGATAATAAGGAAGAAATAATATTTAAGAATAAAAATAATAAATGTAAAAATAAAAATAATAAAAAAAAAAAGGAAACAAAAAAATTTACAATAAAGAAAAAATTTATATTTAAAAAAATTTTTATATGAATTTGTGTGTATAAATGTGTATAAAAAAAAGTTTTGCAATTTGTAATCAATGTTTGTGTTTGTGATTTAATGTAAATTGGCATTAATATTAATTGTAAGTTAAGAGGAATATATATGATTTGGAAAAAAAAATATTTATTTATTTGTGAATGCGTGCGTAAAAAAAATTTTAACCTAAAATAAAATGTTCCTTTCCCCAAATATATAAAAAATATCCAATCTTCTAAACCCCCCGAGTCACAGAAATAAAAACTGCTGTTGGTGAAATCAAATCGTGTATTCCTTAAAAGGCTAGAAAATAATTCGCGTTGATCTTCCAGCAACTAATCTTGAAGATTTAAAATTTTTTATTTTTAAGAAATTACACAGCAACATTTTGATTTTTTAACGTATTTATCATCATCATCTTCGTCATCTCTAATATTGTCTGATTTATTATTATTTTTCTTGCTCTTTTTGGCCTTGATCTTTTTGTTGTTCTTTTTACTGTTGCCCTTTTCATCCTTGGAAGTTGAAGCGGTTGATGATGACGAACCAATTGATATAGTTGTAGATGCTGATTGGTTTGAAGTGAAATCGTTTACCATTAACGCTTGCTGTTGCTGTAATTGTTGATTGTATTTTTCTTCATTGTTTGTCATCTAATAAAATAGAAAATACAATATTTTAATGTGTAAATAAATAAATATATGTAAAATAATGTAAATTATTAGTGTCACTTACGTTATTAACATTTTGCATATTTTCAGCAGCAGCTTTTTCATCATTAGCAGCAGATAATTGTTGTGAATCTGTAGCGGTCTAAAAAAATTAAATTTATATTGATTAATTATAAATTAAATATAATAAATCAATCAATCTCAAATTTTAATTTCTCACCTCATTTCCAGTATTAACACCTCCTTCACCTATTATTTCTTCTTCATCATCATCATTTGTCATCAAAACAAATTCTTCTCTACGTTTCTTTCTTGAATCCTTTTGTGAATTTTCATCACCACCTGTTGCTTTTGTTGCTGATGATACTGGCATGGTGGCAAGCGATATATTGTTATAATAATTATTATAGTTATTATTTGAAGAAGCAGCAGATCCGGCACGTTTACGTTGATAGCTTGATCCGACAGGTAAGGGTATTCGAGAATTGATTGATGATGTTGATGATGTTGACGTTGATGAATTTTTACGAATTTGATAAATTTGAGAGTTGGGACGTCGAGTATAAGCCGGGGTGGAGTTTTGTTTTACATTATTATGATTATAATTATGAGTGCCATTGTGAATATTCTTGTTTTTATCGAATAAAGGTTCTACTTGATCAGTAATATCCATATAACCTGCCATTATGATATTGCTTTTATTCGTTATTGGTGGTGACAATGAAGGTGAAGATATATCATTAACAGTGTTTGATGATGTAAGAAAAGAGTCAGGTTCATCGGTGACACCGAGCAACGCGTCATGATTAGCAAAAGGTAATTGACCATTCATCTTTAATTTCTTTGCAACAGTTGGCACTATCACGTCATCGTGTGATATTGTAGCTCTTCGTACTTGTCGACGAGCAACAGGTTTTTGTTCATTATCTTTTTTTGTTTTGATGTCGTCAAGAGACGTTGATGATTGGTTGAAATTATTTGATTTTTTAGCAAAGTCTAACAATGAAAGAGCTGTTATATTTGATGTGCTATTTATGGGATTAGAATTATTAACGATGTTGATGGCGTCTGTGATATTTGGGTGGGCAGTGTCGTCTTTTGTTGGTATTATTGGAGGAGTTCTTGGAGGAGTCACTGGTGGGGTAGCAATACCATCCTTTGATTGTATACTAGTGCTATTTAAATAGTCTTTAATTTGATCGTCGTCGTTGTTTCTAATTCTAGCATTTGATTTCTTTTTGCTACCTTTTTGTGGATTCGATTCTCTGCTATTCTTCCTACTCATTGAGTTTCGTTTTGTTTGTGGATCTGATTTTTTTATTGGTGGCTCATTATTATTTAAATCTGGAAAATAAATATAAATTAATATAAATTAATACAAATGTAAACAATTATAAACAGTTGTAAATAACAAATAAATATAAACAAATATAAACAAATAAGCGTCGATCATCGTTAAAGCTCAAACTCAAGTTAGAATCACACACAAAAAAATACAAGTATTAAACATTTACCCTTATGAATTGACGACGTGTCATCATTCTGTGCACCAGGTCGTTGTTGCCTACTATTACTGATTAAACCGTTACTGCTAATAGCATTACTTAAATGCTCGGATGATGATGATGTTGTTATTGATGATGATGACGAAGACGGCGGCGAATTTAAAGACGTAATGTGAGAAGAGTTGGGTGAATTTCTTGGAATTTTATCACGTTTTTTGAACGGATCTGGAACGTGACGATCCGTTGGTATTTCAATAACTTCTGTTGTCTATTTATTATAAAAGAAAATGAATTAGTATAAAAAGTAATATATATATGTATGTATGTAGATATGTAATATAAGTGATATATATATATATATATATATTATGATGCTCTTATATCTCAGATTAAATAGGAACTTACGATATCATCATCGGTGAATCTTATTTCGAATGCAGGAGCTACTTGTTGTCTCTTTGACATTCTTTAAGAAAATAATATAAAGATTATTATTATTATGGAATTATTAATATAATTATTAATATAGTTGTAACTATTATAAGTAATAACACTCGAATTTCTCTTCACAATTCCTGAAAGAACTCTAGCAAAACCATGTAAAAGGAGGAAATATATTTACCTGTGGCTTAAGTGTTGTTGTTAGTCTGTTAATGTCGTAAATAAATTTAATATATATATATAAATTATTGCAAATTGTTGTAGATGTTGAAATATTTTTGTAATATTTATAAATTCTAATAAATTCGTTAATTGTGTGAAAGTGTGTGTGTGTGCGCGATGTAAATGTAATAATTTGTTAAATTGTTAAATAATTAGTTTTTTTTTAAAAGAAAATTTTTTGTTTATTTTTTTTTTAAAAAATAAAAAGAAAGCAGCCTGCTGCAACTACTATATATAATATAATATATACTATTCTATTCTAATAATAATAATACTATATATATCAATATTACTTTTTTACTAAAAAGCTTCATAACACTTACTGCGGTTTTTTCTTTACTTATTTAATTTTATTTATTATAAATTTCTTTTAAAAAAAAAATTTATAACAAAAAAAAAAAAAAATTTTTTCGTTAAAAAAAATAATGGTCAAAGAAAAAAGAAGTAAAATAAAAAAAAAACACCAAAAAAATTTATTTATTACGAAAAAAAAAAAATCAGATTAAGTATTGGTGTGTGT